ACTTCTAGTTCCTGATTTAACAGCATCAGAGCTGATCAGAACTTGAGGTTTTTGTTTCTACCCCTCTCTGAACTGCTATAACAGGCCAAGTCTATTTTAGAAATTAACCAGTTTAATCTAACCTAATACTATTTTTAATTCTGAGGCAGAAAACAGTACAAAATTCTTTAATTTGATATTTTTGCCACTGAAAGCAAAAAAAAAGACAACAGATATTAACCAYAGACAACTCTGTATACAGAAGTACATTTTAAGTGCTAAACTATATCTCATGAAAATTCCTAGATTCTGCAACTAAGAATCAAACTTGACAGAAGTGGACAGGGAAACACGATTCTGCTATTTTAATAATCTCTAAATCTCAGTTAGCCAGGTATCTCTTACTGCAATGAGATGCCACACTTACCACACACCTGCAGCTCTTTCCTCACATGAAGAGTTCTCACAACAATGCTACTTTATTAAAACACAGCTACAGCATTGTATTCTCAAAAGGCTCCTAAAATATGATTTTTCACAACTAAGTTCAGTATGAAAAAGCATACCATTGATAAAAAAGAAATCTCAAATACTAAAGTGGAATTAGGTTAGCTACTTGCACGTTAAACACATAAGATGCTTAGTGACTCCGATTTTTCTAAGTCATTAAATCACAATTAAGATAATTTTTTTATTAGCTATATAAGGCATAGCTAAGTCAATAACCTTCTACCATACTGAGCTTTGTAACATAGGTCTCCTTTTGTACATAGCTAAAACTGAAATTAAAAGCTCCAAGATACAAACAGCCAGTATTCTACCTAAGTTGTTTTTGACAGGAATATAATGTGAACTTAACTACCCTCACAGATTTTTGCTTAAAACAAAATTCTAAAGCAGTAAGATACAACAACCTTACTACACAGTGCCTATATTAACATACTTAGCTTCTAACATACTACTTAAGAGATTAGGACAGATTCAGACTAATCATCAGGTTGCTCCCCAAAAGCAACAATATTAGCAAAGCTTTTATCTACAGATTAGGGCTCTATTCCCATACAGCTGCCCTGTAATAACCTCAGTTATTCAGTAATAGCCTCCTCGTTTCCACAACAGTTTCAGATCTCCCTCTAAAATATTTGAGCTTTCTTTTCTTAAAATAGTTTATTGATAGTTCAAAACTGGTTAGAACTAAGAAGTTCCAAAACCYATAAGGGCAACAGATAAGAAAACTACAGTTCAGATAAACTTCACTTCTTAAAATAAATAAAAATTAAGTCTTCATAATAAAATGTTAAGTACAATTAACTGATTCTAGAGTATAGAAGCTAGAAATTTAACAAATATCAAAAGCACATTCTTGGTATGCAAAGATACTTCTGTCTCCATTTGGAGAAAGTTTAGAGCAATTTAGACTTTTTTTGCAGGTGTCTCTTGATGAATATCTTTGCTAAATGTAAATGCCGGCTGCATATTTTATCTTTTTCAGTTTAGACTAATCTCAACCTGAAAATAGACAGAAACAGCCTCAGACTGAAAACACTAAATAGAAATAAAAAGTGGAACATTCAAACCTGATCACAAGGATGATCCTAGGGCCTATGAGCAATCTGCTCGTTAAAATAATGTAGAAAAAGAATGAGTAGTATTTGAGGTAATTTTGCCTAAGAAAGGGATTACACCAGGATTCTTTGCTTTCAGAAGTCAGTCTTTGTAAGTCTCAAGTAAGAAAACAATCAGCAGCTCTGGCTTCTGAAGGTCAGTATATTTTTCCTCCTCTCCATAAAAATCTAGCCAGTGCAGCCATTCAAAATGCAGCAGACGAACACTTATGAGGCAACTAGCTTCTGAGCTAAACTCAGAAACTCAAACCAAACCAAAGTTTAAAGGCTGCAAGACAGCCATCTATGTTCAAAATCATTTTGAGAAAAGCATCGTGAGACCATGCAGTGGCTCAGCACAGACAGAAGGGTAGGTTCCTCCTCTGCTACAGGTGCCTGCTACTCCTCCTGCTCACAGATTATATCTACGTACAATAAAAAACTAGCAAAAAATACTTTTGTCCTCAAAACTAAACAGGCTAGTAAACTGAATGGAAAAAAATGAAGAGGAATTTGGGAAACTGTTGTATTACCTTAGTGATGTTCTACATTGAGTCAGATTAAGTAATCAACCCCAAGTTACAATATTTAAACACCTTATTTGTGTGTTTATCATGGAGTTCAGGGACCCCCAGTCACCTGAGTACATGAGTACACATTTTTGCAGAGGTAGTTCTCTGACCTGTAAAATCTCCTCCTATTCCCAACTCCAGTATACAAGGCACTGATAAGATCTTATTGGACCCACACTAACAGAAAAAAAAAAAAAGAAAAAGAAACACCACACCACTCACATATTCCTAATACTACAAAACAC